TGAATCCCTTTAGAGGAGAACAGAGCTTGGACTAGACATCTGACTCTTCTCTCCTCTGTATTCTGTCCAGCAGGCTCTTAGAACTAACCACACACACACACACACACACACACACACACACACACACACACACACACTCCACGGTGACATGTTTCAGCACTATCGTTCAGCTGTCAGCAACATTCAGCAGTAATTCGTCTGTAACAGTGTGTTATTCTGCCTGTCTTGTCAGGCTCCGTCATGTCCGTGCATCCTTTCTCTCCTTCGTCTGTCTGTCACTTTGTCTCTCTTCGCTTGTTCTGTCCATCTCAACATCCTCAGGCTCAAACAGCCTTGCTGCTAATGTAAAAACACAGGGCTGCACCGTGTGAACAATTGTGTGTCGTGGTGTTAGTGTTGTGTGATTTGCTTTAGCTCTGACAATGAGTCCCACAATTTCTGCTCTCGTCATTGAACAGGTAGATTTATAGCAACAGATTACATTCAAAGGTTATTACACTCTCCATGGAGACCTGAACTATTGTGAGATAAATGTGCAACGGTAAATCACAGTAGCTAAAACCAGTTTATAGTGTGTTTCTGATCTGGTATAACTCATGCAAAGTATCACATTATCATAGCAGGTGAGTGATCTACAGAGGGAAGCCAGGAAAACTCAAATAACAGAAACTTTGGGAATGCCGGGGATGCTGGAAACACCAGGAGATGCAGGGAGGACGCTAAAAAGCAGAAGTCACTGACTGAAACCTGAATATGAAAGCTAGGAGCTGATGTGCATAGAGGGAGGTGATTGGAGACACAGTACAGGTGAGCCATAAGGAGCAGGTGTGCATAGTTAGTGGAGGAGCTGAGGGAAAACCAAACAAACAGGGAGAGAGGGGACAAATCCTGATACTCTACAACCATGGGGTTTTGTCCACTGACGGCAAGTAGATATTCATTTCCTTATATGCTTCATAATTATTAGTGATTTGACGCTTACAAAACACCAAGAGTGACAGCAGGCGAGTAAACGGGAAGTTTTACCCAAAATCCTGAGTGTGCAGACTCGGGCTTTAAAATCCAACATGGCAGCTCCCATAAACAGGATGGCGTTACTTGGGGGCAACACACGCATTTTCATCCATCATCATTTATGTTACAGAAGTGACACTATTAACAATCAATGCCTTTCATATGAACATTTAGTATTATTTTAAGTTTTAACTCTATTAAAAACTGAAGATAAAAAAATACTTCAGTTAATTTGGATATAGAAAATCAAAATGGTGAAGAACTCACTGATTAGACAAAAGTGAGCTACAATTCTAAACATTTTGAATAAGTTTACCTCACTGCAAAGTTGCAAGTGTGACAATAATGTTAATATGTTAATGTTTGATTGTGAGGAGGAAAAAAGTACATTGCACCAAAAGTAGCACAAATGATTCATTCAAATAAATGCAAGAGATAAAACAAGGACAAAAGAGTTTAATGAAGCTGCCAATGTGATTTGCTGCAACAAGTGAAATGAAATGAAACATATACAGTAAAGTTTGACCGATACTGGTTTTCCCATTGCTGCAATTGAAGCCAATATGTAGAGGTCACGGTCAAGCCTAATTTATACTTCTTTATATTTATAGGTGTCTTGTGCATAGCTCAGTGATAAAATCAGACATTTAACAAAGGTTAATCAACCAAATCAGTTAAGTGATCTGAATAAAATCCTGACCTTCTCAGTGGCCTCGTGGTAGAGCATCCACCCTGGGACCGAGATCAGGGTTCATATCCGGTCCGGTCATGCCAACGACTTTATAAATGGGACCGAATGCCTCCCTGCTTGACACTCAGCTTTACGGGGATGGATTGGGAGGTTAATCCAACAAATAGTTCCCTAGCGCAGCCACTGCTACAGCTCACCGCTCCCCACGACAAAGGGTCAAATGCAGAGAGGTAATTTCACCAGAGTGTGATGATTACTAATTGGTCTTGATTTCAATAGCACCGGACTGCCCAAGGATGTGCCTCACTATATGAAAAATGGCAAAATTCGGCTCGATATATAGAACTGCCCCAAATAGACGGAAAAGAATGTATCTCAGTACTCTGGATTTAGACATGAAATGTTTTGGAGAAAGAAAAGAAAACATTTCTTGACATGATTTGTAAAAGCTCATTCAGTTTGAGGCATGAACACATGAAGGTCCTAATCGTGTTTTACACGAGAGAAACTACAGGTCAAGACTGGGAAGAATAAAAACTGTTTTATGTGTCCTGAACCCATCTTCTCAGTGCAAAGAAAATCCCTTCATCATTGTAAATTTGTGTAAACGAATAACAAATGAGCTCATGCTCTTATTAGCAGAGTCCTCACTGTAGGAAGCAAGAAAACAGAAGCTTCATGGAAAATAACTAATATATATAATTTGTGTTTTAAATTGCATATCTTGACCCAGAAACCAAGAACTGTCAGACATTTATTTGTGGCTGAAAATTTCTAAACACTGAGGAAAAAAATGTGGCTCAGAGCAGTAGCTCAGGTGGTAGAGCGGGTTGCCTCATGATCGGAGGGTCATGGGTTCAATTCCAGCTCCCGCCAGGGGTATCCTGCTGTTGTGTCCTTGGGCAAGACACTACACCCAACTTGCCTGTGTTGGTGGTGGTCAGAGGGGCAGACGGCGCCAAATGGCAGCCTCGCCTCTGTCAGACCGCCCCAGGGCGGCTGTGGCTACAAGTAGCTTACCATCACTAGCAGTGTGTGAATGTGAGAGTGTGTGAAAGCGTCTTTGGGTGTCTAGAAAAGCGCTATATAAGTTCAATGCATTATTTTTATTATTAATAGTCATGTCTTTGCCTAGTTATAGCCCCTGTGCATTTTTTTAAATTCTCAACCAACAGGATGACTGTGCAGAAGGTGAAGCTTTGTGGGAAAAATACAGTCTCACCAGAATATGACTTCTTTTAGACATAACATTTTTAACATTGACATTTAACTCTGTAAAAATCTATATTTGAAAATCTGATGTTCAGTTTTTGCTGCTAAAAATCTGCAATTTAATTTTTACAGATGAATTATTTGCTGGCGTGTTTTAGGCCCTGTCCACACGTAGCCGGGGATCTGACAAAACGTAGATATTTTTCTACGTTTTGGCCTGTCATCCACACGAAAACTGAGTTTTTTCACACGAAAACGGATCTTTTTAAAAACTCCGGTCAAAGTGAAGACCTGTGTTTTCTCCGTTTTGGGTGTCTGCGTGTGGACAGACAAAACCGGAGTTTTAAGGTCCGCAACGTCACTTTCCCCGACAAAAAAATGCTGACATCACGTGTGCGACCTGTGTTTACACTAGCTGACAGCATGGATGCCCTCAGAGCTGCGCTCTGTCACTACCCGATCCATCAATTGTCCAAGCGCTTTCTGCTTGTTTGTTTTTGCAAGCGGAATTACTGCTCCTTGCGGAAGACCACAGATGAAGGACGTTGTCCTTAACAACGTATTTATGCGGGTACGTGTGGACGGAGTTTTTTTTTAAAACGAGGTGGTGTGGATGCAAGTTTTTGGAGGGGCGGATATTTGTTTTTTAAAAAACCCGGCTACGTGTGGACTAGGCCTTAAGGGTTCAAGGGTTCAAGGTTGTCTTTATTAATCCCCAAGGGGGAAAACCAATTTGTTCTGATTACAATCAGTCAGTCTGAGTTTTTCATGCAGGCTGAACATGACAAGTCTCCTTCGCCTACCTCCTGAATTAGCTTCTGACAGAAAATAGATGGTGAAACTCTAGGAATTGAAAAGCTTAGCAGATCTACATCACACTGTGACTTAACATTCATGAACTCACCCAAATTAACCCACGATGGGGAAGGCTGTTGTTGGCTTAGCATTCAGGATTCAGCAGAGAATGTCCAGCTAGTAGAAGCTAACCGTTAGCATTAGCAGCTCCACCACACGCTAGAACTCCTCCAGGCTTCTGTTATTTGTAGAGATAAAACATCAGTGTGGCAAAGTAAGCGGAGTCAGTGGTAGAGTCAATTTGCTATTAGCCAATCAGAAGTGAGATGTCCAAATAGCAGGAAACAATGCTGCCAGGGGAAGCTCTCCTCTGATCCTAAAACAGGTGCACCAGAGTACGACTTAAAAGGCATTTGTTACAACCAGAGACCGCTGCAGATATAGTAATTAAATGAGTGAACCACACCTTCAAGTAAAACATTTTTAAATGCGTAACACAAAAATTATGTCTGAAAATATGTCTGTTTTTTTCTTCCATGAAGAGTCATTAGATGTGTCTTTGCTCCCGTCATTTAAACATATCCAGGTTATTTAGCTCACTAGAGGTCAGAAACTATAACTCAATACTTTGTTGCTCCAGGCTGTGGTTTTCTTCCCCTATTTTAGTGACAGACAGATAAAATACGTAACGTGCCTGGGGTTATTCGAGGTTTACTTTGACTGTTTTGTCACCGTTTGGCGAGACTGAAAGACAATTTTCCTCGCCCCTAAGGCTCACGCCGTCCTGTAACAGTGAAGACTTAAGTTGTAAAGTTTGTCTGAGATTGGCTTTTTTCCTCTGAGGATGACGAATGTATTATCCTGGGAAATAGCAGCTCTTCTTCTTCATCTCCCCTTACTCTGTCCATCATCGCCCTGCCAACTGTCAGATGTTACTGTCAACCTCAGCAGTCCCTTCATCTGTCTTTCTAATGGGAATCCCCCTCTGTTTTCTCATTAGACGGGCCTTATTTTAACAATCCCCCTCACTTTTCCTCCTCAGTGTCCCATTTGTGACTCAATGGCTTCTCCCTTTTTGGTTTTAGTCACCAGATTTTAGGTGACACATGGTCCTGGTTTCTTTTCAATATTAAAGTACTCAGCAGATGAAGCTCAACTGCTTTTATTTCTCCTGATGCTTGCTAGCTGCTCTACTTTCAGGTTGATCATGTGGCAGAGCTGCCAAATGAGTTTTCTAACCCTCATCTTCTTGTTCTCCTTTCCATTTTTACTTCTCTCATTTTGGTAGTGATGTGAAAGCGCCGACATATTGAAGACTCTCCTCGTTCGCTCAGAGAAGACCTCCACCTGCAAAGGTAAGGGAAAAAAAAAGAAAGTGTTCCTTCTTTGCTCTCTCTTCATCCCGCTCTCCGTCTCTGCTCCTCAACACCAACCTTGCTGTGGGATAAGAAGATGTCAGCAGAATACAAAGCACTGCTTCAAAACTCCAGACAGAAAATGAGAGATTATATTCTGTCTATCAAACACACACATACACACGCACACACACACACACATACACATACACACACACCATAGTGAACAGGATATTCATCATGTGATTTACGCTTTATTTTATTTGAGAAAATGTTTGTGACAGAAACACAAGAGCGTATTTTATGTGTCTGTGTGTGTGTGTGTGTTTGTGTGTGTCTGTGTGTGTTTATGTCAGGGAGAGGGAGAATTTGTGAGAAAAATCCGAGCTGTCAGAGGTTTAGGTGTAACCGCCACCCAAGAAGGACAGGATGTGAAAAGACAAATATAGAGAGAGACGATCTCTGAGCAATGCTTGTGGAGAGACAAAATACTTATTCAGGCAGCAATTATTGACGAGGTTCAGTGATGAGGATCCATGTGAGATGCTCCACATGGTAAAATATGGTCATGGCATTTATATAACTGTTTGTTTCTGGGTTTTATGAGCTCTTTGTTTAGTTTTGTGTTAGTTGGAATGTTGACAGATGAAGTGTCGGGGAAAAGCCAAGAAACTGTCTTTGTACTTTACTGTAGTACAATTTTACATATAAAGGCAACATGCACTATAGAAAATCTGTTAGGTACAGATTCCTGTATTTTATAGAATTTTCTTGTTTTTTATTAGAAACATTAAAACATACTTTAATACACAGAAATAGGTAATGATATTTATTGTATATTCACTGGTAAAATACCACTAACCAGCTAAATTTGTAAATGCATGTTTGATTTCTCAATTTAAAATTAACACTAACATGCATATAAAAGCTGCTACAAATAGCTTTTATGTTTCAAATATACAAATGAATTCAGCTACATTGCTGTTTGCTTTTTTCTAAAATTTATTTTAAAATGATGACAAATATTAGTAAAATATACTGGATGGATGAAACTGTTTTTGTTAACATTGAAGGGGCTAAATCCACACTCCACTTTTTGGAGCTTTTTACCATGTGGTATTGTTAAGGATAACATTTTATCGTTGGAAAAACAAAAACACATTTATTCAGAGTAAATTCTGATTTAGAGAATCAGAGGTTAAGATAAATGTTTAAATGTATGGTGACTATTTTTGTTGTTGCTCCAAGCCATTGTCTTGTTAGTAACAAACATGTTGGTAGTTTTTTGTTGTTGCTTGTGAAAACATACAGTGGTGTGAAAAACTATTTGTCCCCTTCCTGATTTCTTATTCTTTTGCGGGTTTGTCAAACAAAATGTTTCTGATCATCAAACACATTTAACCATTAGTGAAAGATAACACTAGCAAATACAAAATACTGTTTTGAAATGATGGTTTTTATTATTTAGGGAGAGAACAAAATCCAAACCTACATTGTCCTGTGTGAAAAAGTAATTGCCCCCCATGTTCAAAACTAGCCCAACTGTGGTGTTTCACACCTGAGTTCAATTTCTGTAGCCACCCCCAAGCCTGATTACTGCCACACCTGTTTCATTCAAGAAATCACTTAAATATGAGCTGCCTGACAGAGAAGTAGACCAAAAGCACCTCAAAAGCTAGACATCATGCCAAGATCCAAAGAAATTCAAGAACCAATGAGAACAAAAGTAATTGGGCTGCATGGTGGCGCAATTGTTAGCACTGTTGCCTCGCAGCACGAAGGTCGCACGTTCGAAACTCGGCTGCGGCCTTTCTGTGTGGAGTTGCGTGTTCTCCCCATGCATGCGTGGGTTTCCTCCGGGTACTCCGGTTTCCCCCACATATCACAACATGCCCTATAGGTTATAAAATGCAAGTCGTTTTGGATAAAAGCATCTGCCAAACATAATTGAGATCTATCAGTCTGGTAAAGGTTATAAAGCCATTTCTAAAGCGTTGGGACTCCAGCGAACCACAGTGAGAGCCATTATCCACAAATGGAAACAACATGGAACAGTGGTGAACCTTCCCAGGAGTGGGCGGCCGACCCAAATTACCCCAAGAGCGCAGAGACATCTCATCCGAGAGGTCACAAAAGACCCCAGGACATCTTCTAAAGAACTGCAGGCCTCACTTGCCTCAATTAAGGTCAGTGTTCACGACTCCACTATAAGAAAGAGACTGAGCAAAAATGGACGCAAACCACTGTTAAGCAAAAAGAACATTAGGGCTTGTCTCAATTTTGCTAAGAAACATCTCAATGATTGCCAAGAATTGGGGAAAATACCTTGTGGACTGATGAGACAAAAGTTAAACGTTTGGAAGGCAAATGTCCCGTTACATCTGGCGTAGAAGTAACACAGCATTTCAGACAAAGAACATCATACCAACAGTAAAATATGGAGGTGGTAGTGTGATGGTCTGGGGTTGTTTTGCTGCTTCAGGAACTGGAAGGCTTGCTGTGATAAATGGAACCATGAATTCTACTGTCTACCAAAACATCCTGAAGGAGAATGTCCGGCCATCTGTTCGTCAACTAAAGCTGACGCCATCTTGGGTGCTGCAGCAGGACAATGACCCAAAACACACCAGCAAACCCACCTCTGAATGGCTGAAGAACAACAAAATGAAGACTTTGGAGTGGCCTAGTCAAAGTCCTGACCTGAATCCTATTGAGATGCTATGGAATGACCTTTAAAAGGAGGTTCATGCTAGAAAACCCTCAAATAAAGCTGAATTACAACTATTCTGCAAAGATGAGTGGGCCAAAATTCCTCCAGAGCGCTGTAAAAGACTCGTAGCAAGTTATCGCAAACGCTTGATTGCAGTTATTGCTGCTAAGGGAGGCCCAACCAGTTATTAGGTTCAGGAGGCAATTACTTTTTCACACAGGGCAACGCAGGTTTGGATTTTGTTCTGTTGTGGTTATTAGCCAACAAATAATGTGTAAGCTTTACTTACTCTTTGGATTCATCAATAAAATTCGTAAATATGGAAATATTTACCGATTTATTACGTAATTAGGATATCCATGGATATCCTCGGGGCACCACCTCTTTAATAGGGGAAAAATGAATCCAAACCTCTATCAATCTGTCTAAAGTTCGTAAAATTCTTTTAACGAGCGGCAGTCATATTCTATCCAGCACAGACAAATTTACTTGAGACAAAACTTAATTGGCAATAACATTTATTTACTAATATGATCACCTTAGCTCCTTCAAAGTATTAGCCAATCAATATCAACCAACTGATTTTATCAAACAAACAACAAGCAATGAAACCATGGAATGATAATGTGACGTAACAACCTAATCAGACCGGTGGGGAAGATGGTGATGTAATCAGGCAGAGATAGCTGAGTACCAAACTGGAGGGAGTTTTGAAACAAAATGGCGGATCCTTTGTTTGGCTGACCCAAAGGATCGAACTGTGTGTGTGTGAGCAAACGTTCACAGTAAACTTAATAAAAACACTTCAAATCGCTGCACAAAGATCAAGAAAAAACAACAGATCAGTCATAAAAGCAAAACACATATCTGAACAGTCTGTCAGCCTGGCCACAGCATAAACAAACTTAGATATTAAACAATAAAAGAACGGAGCTTACTCTGAGATGATCCGTTGGCGTTTTTAGTATGGAGGAGAGAAACCGTTTGTTATTTTAAAGCGTTCACATGGTCGACCGCTTGTTTCGGACTATTAGAGAAGCGGGAGAGAAAGAGAGAGAGAAAAAAGGAAAAAAAAATCTTGCATGAGCGAACACAAGGCATCCCTCTGTGTCCGGGCTGAGCAGATCAGATGGCGTTGATCCGTCGATCTCAGCAGCTAGGCCTCGTGCACACGCTGTCCGGAGCGGTATGGAGCAGAGGCAAAGGTCTCCTTACTCCAGATGACTGGACGGAAGAGAGTGATTTCCGCTCTGCGCCTCAGCTTTATAGACTAGTCCAGCGGGTGATCTCTGTAGCGGCTGGTCAGACTTGGCGTCGCTTGATGACGTCATCAAGCTGCTGCCAGCTGTAGAGGATCATGGGACATGGAGTCCCTGCTGGCGCTGATATTGTCAACGCTTCAGGGCGTAGATGCACAGTCCTTTGGAGAAAATACTGCATACTAATTTTCTCATGATGGCAGGACCCCAACAGTTCTCTCCCTAAATAATAAAAACCATCATTTCAAAACTGCATTTTGTGTTTACTTGTGTTATCTTTGACTAATGGTTAAATGTGTTTGATGATCAGAAATATTTTGTGTGACAAACATGCAAAAGAATAAGAAATCAGGAAGGGGGCAAACAGTTTTTCACACCACTGTAATTAAGATAAATTAATTAATTAAAACATATGTAGGTATGCAACTTAGCTCTTTATGTGCTTACTGTTTTCAATATGCTCCAGCTGCTGGAACATTAGATGTTTGAAATCATGTTTTATTTAGAAAAAATAAAGAAAACATCCATTTGTGGATGGTAATCCTTCTAAAGGAAGATGTTTCCATCATACAAGAGCATTGTTGTTAAATGGATCTTTTATTCCAGCACAGTTTAAGATTTTAGCAGAATGATGTAACCTGATTTTATCACATACCTGATAATGTGGAGGAGTGTTTTTTAGCACACTTCAGCAGCTTTACACCTTTAGTGGCGTGTAGACAAATTTTTACAAAGTGACAATAACAAGTTATGTTTGAGTGGTGCGTGAACAGAATCATTTACTCCAGGCCGAAAATCCCTTAATGCCATGGCTTAATGAGATTCATCGTTTTTGGCTCTTTTTATGCACCAATAATTCATGACGTGTACCCGTGCAGCCACCATCTGTCTGTCACAACTGTCTACAAACTGAAAAAATTTGGACACAAAGCTAACAGCAGGATATTTAGTGGATTTTTTACGTGATTGTTTCCTCCCTCGCTGTTTCGATCGATGATGAATACGAGATAAAAGCTGACAGAACACTGTCA